CAATCAGCCCTACCCTGAGCGTGACTGAGGGTGGCATCGCAACCTCCCGATCCGCCCTGCTCTGTGCATGACAGGGGGCGGCGCCCCAACTCCCCAATCGGCCCTGCTCTGAGCCTGACCAGGGGCTGCACCTAGGGATTGGGCCTGCCCTCTGCCACCCAGGAGCAGGCCTAAGCCAGCAGGTCGTTATCTCCCGAGGGGTCCCAGACTGCGAGAGGGCACAGGCCGGGCTGAGGGACCCCCTCTTCCCCCCCGAGTGCACAAATTTTTGTGCACCAGGCCTCTAGTATATAAATAAGTATTGAATATAAACATCTCATAAGATTAAATAAAATTAGTACCTAAGATTGAGTAATTTATACTTATAAGACTACTACTGGCCTTAAAGAAACTGAATCTATCTTCTAATTATGTAATTTTAAAAATCAACTGGGAAGAAATATTTTCCTATGATGTTTGTATTCCATGAACAATTTCAAATCTTAAATATATACACATATATTTTCCTACCTAGGTCTGTTACTTGTCGATCAAAAGGGCAACGGATTGCTCTTCCATGAAGAGGCAGGCGGGTGAGACAGTCATGGCAGACGGTGTGGCCACAAAGCAGCAGGCGAGGAACTTTGTCTCCTTGCAAAGAAAAGACATCTTCACAAACTCCACACTCCAGCACCTAATATTTGAAAAGGGAACATGTGGTCTTTAAGTGATTTTAAAAGCGCACATATTTTATTTATTTTTAAAAGCTGATCTAATATGTTGAATAACGCTTGTTAAATTACTTTATTCCTCCATGGGGGGAAAAACTGTCTAGGTTGGAAAACTTTAAATCACCTTTCATCATCTCATCTGAACAGACCCTACCAAAATTACATCAGAGCGAAATCTCCTTGACATGTTGTGTTAAGGGACTAGGATAATGGTGTAAGTTAACATGATCTTTATCTTTTGAAAATTATGACTTGATTCGTTATATCTGAAACAATATATAATTCTCCCAAACATGGGTTATTAAACAACTCCTCTGCAATTCCCTAACCTCCAAAACATCACCATTAATTTGGACAAAACAATTTGGAATATGTGCTAGGATGACAATTTACCTTTCTAATAAAGAACATGTTAAGACTATAAGTAATTTTGAAGTATCTAGTACCCACTTATATCACATAATGTAAAGGAAAGAAAGCAATCACCCTTGACTTAAATTTCAATTCCTTGTTCTCAATGAATAAATATGCCCCTTGGTTAGAGAATATTTTGTCTACCTAGTTCCAATGACAAGTACATGTTTTGTCCAAGGCCATGTAGTCAGTCCAAAGAAAGGTGACAAGAATCGACATATTCTGATTCCCAGGTCCATGAGTTTATGTTTTATAATTAGTCAACAAACTGTAATTATATCAATGAAAGATTTTTGGTACTTTTATTTCTTAATACTAGTATATCTGAAGTATTTCATAATTTTTGTTAATTTAAAAATATACCCACTCTGAACTGTTTAAGTGTACCACAAACTCCTCTGCCTGCCATCTATGACCTGCTACAATCTGATCTGTAGTTCCCAGATTGTTTTTGCCACTTTCTTTCTGCTAATGCTGAGGGAATAGCTAAATAAACACTTTCCTAGTGGATCCTCTTTTACATTAATAAACCAACAAATTCCTAAACACTGTATCTCTCAGGACTATCTACAGCTCAGTCCAAATGAAATGACCACAGTGTCCCTGAGGCCCCCATGTACCATGAATAAGTGTCTATCTTAACACCCAAAACACTGGAATACCTTTATTGGCTTTCCAACCTGTCTTTCCTGTTACACCAAAAAAGCTCTCAGGGGAACAGGGTATTCCAAATACCAACTACAGTCCATCAAAATAAAAATGTAAAAACAAAGTGGCCAACCACCATCCCCAACAAATACATAACAGGAGGTAAAAAAAATAGAAACTCTCCCCCCCCTGCCCCCCCAAAACAATAGGAAACCCAGAGTGGAAATCAGACTTAATCCATTAAAATTTTAATCTTAACTCTGAAATTATTTTGGACTGACTACCTGATATGGAAGCATCTTTCACTATAAACAGGTAATTCATAATTGGCTTGCATCCCAGTATGTTTCAAAAGGAGTTTAAATGTAACACACAGCTCACAAAAAAGGAAATGAAAACAATCTTAAGACGTGTTGTCTTTTCTTTAAATATATAAAAAGATGTTCACCATCACTCGAAACACTTTGAAAGGCAATGAAAGCTATATCAGTATACTTTTTTTTCAGATTAGATCAAAGAGGTTGATAACACTTTGTACTAGTGCAAGTGTCAGGGAGCATATCCCTCACACATTGCTGGTTGCTATGAAATGTTTTATTGATTGGTACAGCTTCTCTGGAAGGGAATTTGGTAATGACTACCAAAAGTTAGAATAGCTCAACAATTCCACCTCAGGAATTTAATCCTACAAATATTCCACACATGTGTAAGAAGATCTACATGCTAATCCTTAACAGTACCATTTGCATTAGCAAGAGTTTAGAAACAAAGTACACACCAATACAAGACTGGAAAAAAGTTATGGTACATTCATATACTGCAAAACGATGTAGTCTACTGAGGAAGAGCTAGGAAACAGCTGCACATAAATTATATATATTATACATACATACACTTCAATTTATCCTGTGTTTTTTTAATGCGGGAAAAAGGTTTCACTTAAATATCAAATTCGATTAAATACAGAAATGATATTCATCACAGAATTAGATATTATAAAATAAATGCAACATTTTTTACAAATGTTCTCACTAATGTGACACAATACATTTTACTTGTTTATGATAATAAACTCTAAAGAACCAAATTAAAATTTAACTTAGTTCATGTATATCTTATATTTCTGACCTTATTATTACACAAGCTAAAAGAACTTATGCTGCTACTATAGGTTTCTTCAAAAAGCACTAGAAGTACACTGATTAGTAAATTAAACACAGGTACAAAAATAAAGTTATTAGACTATTTTGCATCAACTCAGTAAACAATAGAGTAAGAAATTCTTTCTTCAGTATTCATGAATAGGAATTTGGGCCAACAATCTATATATATAAAACCCTAATATGCAAATAGACCGAATGGTGAAAAACCTAACAACCGAACAACCAGTCGTTATGACATGTGCTGACCACCAGAGGGTGCACACGGAACATAGCGAGTGTTGGCCGTGGCGGGATGGTGGAGCAGGTGAGCAGGGGTGCCAGACCAAGGTGGGGCGCCAGTTGCTGTCACTGGGATGAGCCTCTGGTGGTTACTGAAAATTCTTTCCTCCCGTGCACCATGGTCCCGGCGCTCACACCTGCTGCTGGCACCCAGCGCCAGCCCTGATCGCCCCTCAGGGCTTCTCCACCTCCCCCTGCTCCTGAGGGGCGATCAGGGCAGCAGCTGCCGCTCGTACACGCTGACAGTGCTGGCCCCACTCACACCCACTGCTGTCACCAGCCCCAATCACTCTGCACCTCAGCAGGGGAGCAGCAGCGGCAGGAGCGGGGCTGCTGGCCATAGCAGGAGGGGCCGGGTGGAGGCGCGGAGGATGAGCTAAGACCCGCCCCTGTGCCCACTGCAGCCTCGCAGCCCACAGTTCCTTTCAAGGTGCACGAATTCGTGCACTGGGCCCCTAGTATAAGATAAATTAAGTCCTAAATAGAATAGCTTTTAATTTTATAAACTTTACAAATATGCCAAAGAGGACTTCATTACATGTACTTATTACATATAAATAAAATTTTAATTAACCAGTCCATATTTTTAAAAGACTAAGAAGGCTCACTTTCTCTTTCTTTTTGGTGCCCTTCACGGGATTTCAACCAGCAATCTTCCCGTGCATGGGACGATGCCCAACCAACTGAGCCACAGTGGCCAGGGTGAGGCTCACTTTCAAAAGAAACTTTCCTGATTCTTTTCTGAATGTAAATAATATAATTTTAGATTTTTATCTTTGTTTCTCTAATGATAAAAGCCATGCCACTGTCAATTTGTTCATTAAACAAGAGGCGAGTTTACATAATGTTAGCATTATTATACTTCAATTCTTACCTTCCAATTAACACTCCTTGCTTTCATCTATGAAAATGACAATTTAAAAAAATATTTATGCCAACATATTTCTTACAAATTACAGCATGAGGCTCTTGCAAGGACTGTCCTATTGCACAGCTTAGGCACATATTACATGTAAAGATTAAAATGAATAAAGTGAGCCTCTAATATATCAAACTGTGTGCTATTACAGACTGGAGTACCATCAGGCTTTGGTATAGTTTTGAGATTCTAAGGTAAACAGAATAACAAAGTAGATACAGCAATAATACTCATGCCTAATACAACTTCTTAATTCACGTTAATTCACAAAATAATCCAGATATTCTCTACTTAGAAAAAATACAATTCAATAAATGTCAACCACACAATATGCCTTATAATAAGAGGGCTCCTTTGCATCTTGGATATGCTGTGTGTTTTCAGAATAACTTCACCAATACTAGTATATAAAGGTCAGATGAATCAACAACCACCAATACTGAGACTGAGAATACAGTTGTGAGCAGAAATGTATCATTTGTTGTCATATAAAACCAACATTAGGTGAAAAATCATAGAAGGCTATTATAAATAAAAAATACTTCAGATATTACCTGGTCCAGTGGTTCTCAAACATGGTTGCACATTAAAATCATTTCTGGGAATGTAAAAAATATACTGATGTCAACTTAATCAGAACTGGGGGGCTGCATCAGTTTGTGTTTTTTCAAACATGCTCAGTGATTCGAAGATGTAGCCAGTAATGAGAATTATCAGTATCTCAGGTTATAAATAAGGAATTCTATAAACCACTATGATCAGTTTTCCCTTCCAAATTTTTCCATATACATAGTGGAAGGGAAAAATGAATCCCACGTTATTTCAGTTGATTTTTTAGTAACGGCATCTTGGAGTATTTACACAGGGTAGAGTTTCAAACTTCAAGCATAGGGCAATTCATAGACCCTAGTGTTAACGTGCTGCTGTTGGAGACTTCTGAAAAGTGTTGACCAGGCCCTAGCTGCTTTGGCTCAGTGGCTACAGCGTCGGCCTGGGGACTGAAAGGTCAAGAGCACATGCCCGGGTTGCGGGCTCCATCTCCAGTAGGGGGGACGCGCAGGAGGCAGCCGATCAAAGATTCTCTCTTCATCATTGATGTTTCTCTCTCTCTCCCTCTCCCTTCCTCTCTGAAATCAATAAAAATATTTTTTTTTAAAAAAGTGTTGACCAAGAGAGGAAGGGGGAGATCACCCAGTAATTGATGTCTGATCATGGAAGTAATGCAATAGTGAAAAGCAAACTTTGGAGCCTGTCAACCCTGGCTCTGCCACACACTGTTAACTTAAACCTTTGTTTCCTCAGCTGTAAAACGGGAATTAACATCAACCTCATAAGTAGACACAAGCGATTTAAAAAGCTAACATAATACCTGGAGATAATAATGGTTTGATTTAATAAAAATAAGCTAATTAATGCCTGTTGAGTTTAATTAAAATCAGAAGACCTGGGGGAAGAAAGCCCAGGTCACTTCACAGGCCCATAAGTTTCTTTTCACAAATGCCCCCTAGGTGATGCCAGGCAGAGGACTGGCAAGAACAGAAGACCAGTCGCGGAGGGGAGGGCCTGGCTTGTGCAGCCAAGAGGGGCCCAGAGGCCGCGCATCCCGCCCAAAGCAGCCCGGGCCGCGGCGCTGCAGCCCCATCTCGGGGATGAACCCCGGGCAGGCCAACGGTGGAGAACAGAGAACGCAAGGCCCCTCACCTTCACCACGGCCGTGCCCCAGCTGCCCTGACGGCCACTGTCTAGTCCCGATCCAGCCTTGTTTACAACCAGAGCAGCCATCCTTGGACCAGCGGCGCTGCAGAAGCACCCGAAAGGGCCTCCAACCGAGGGGCGGGGCAGAGCCACCTACCCAGAAGCCTCGGCGCCCGCCACTGGCGCACAGGCGCAATACGGCGCGGGGCGGGGGAATGTTCCCAGGACCGCCTCCTTCCTCCTCCCGCCTGTCACTATCTGGCTGCACATCCTTGCGCACGGGCGCTTTATTTTTATTGTTATTAAAGAGTCTGCCACTGATGGAAGGAATAAAGTTAAGGAAAAAAAGTAAAGCTAAAACAGAAGTAAAATGTTGGGATGCAGCTCCCGCTCCAAGAGCAAGATATTGTCCCCAGCCGCGAAAGGAAGGGGGACGAGGAGGGACTACATCTCCCTGCATGCAGTGCGGTTTTTATAGAAACTACAAGTCCCAGCGTGCCACCTCTGTATCTTTTACGCCGCAAGGTCGCAATTTCGGAGGCCGAGTATTGCTCCGGCGAGTGGTGTCGTGCAGTCGCCAAGTGTGAATGCGGATGGGAGGAGGAGTATCCTATGTATAGGTATCCCGCAGGCCAGATGTGGCCTCGGAGAGAAGCCGCCATTGGGTCGTAAAGGACCTGATAAGGAGGGAATTGAAGACACCACCGGAAGGGACTGTGTTGGACGCCCTGCCTTCCCGAAAGGGCGTTTTTCTGCTCTCTTCCGAGTCGGATTGAACCTCCTCAACCCTCGTAGGCTCTCGGTGGAAAGTGCCGGTCAAAATGGAAGTGAATCCCCCCAAACAGGAGCACCTGCTGGCTCTGAAAGGTAAAGTTTTGCGAACCCGACTCCCCTTCATCTGTTCTCTCCCCTCCTCTCTCTAGATCTCCAAGTCCTGGCCTTACAGCCCTGGCCTGTGGGATGTAGGCCTCGTTCTCCTGACACTCGGTGCACGCCCTGCTGCTCTGCCCCTGGTGCCGAAGCGGCGGGAAGCAATGTCAACCCTGATTTTAGGTTCGAGAGCCTCCCTCTGGAGTGGAGAGAGAGACCCGCCGCGGAGGGGAGGGGATGGCTTGTCAAGCCAAGGGAGGCAGATCCCTCCGTTGTGTGTGTTGCAGTCACCAGACAGAGCTCAGTCCCAGGAGCTGACGCTCCCACCGCCCCCGGGAGAGCCCTGTGGCCACGGTGATGGCGGGCGCCCTCCGGAGCGGTTTTCTCTGGGGTCTTGTCTCGTCCTGCGGCGCGGACAGAGCCTTCAGCTCCGTCCGTAAAAGAGCAGTGCCAGAGAGTTAGAAGTACACAGTACTGACATATATGTAATTCAGGTTTGTTAAAACCTACTGTGGTGTGCTTCGAAATATTGTGTATATGGGAAAGTTCACGTCAGCGTTCATTTTCTGTACCTAACAATCAACTTGAGTATGTTTGATCATTAGATCATTATTTAGAGGAAAAACAGGTTAGAGTTTTTCTGGAATTCCTGTTGTTTCCTGGAAAACTTTTAAATGCTTTCAGCTGTATCTGATCTGTTTTCCGTACCACAAATGCACTTTTTTAATTTCTTGGATGCTCTGCTATGTGGTTACTAATCCCTTCTTCGACTGAGCTGAGAAAATGCTCAGTAGATGTTTGAATCCAGTTACATTGCACGTCCTTGTGGTATCCATTGTGAGGGACCTTCCCTTCCCGAAGCCCGCCAGTCCCATTTGTAGCATAAAATCGTATACTGATAGCTGGGGTTAACAGGACTGTCTCTGCCTGTATAATTAAGGAAGTGCACTATTAAGTAACATAGCAAAATGCCCAATAAGCTTAGTTTGAGCAAATGAACTGGACTGAAGTGGGTTATTCCTGAAAAAGAAGAAAAGGTACTGTCAGGGTCTTTATCTCTCAATCTCACAGCAAGCACGCCGAATAGGGGCTCCTTAACGCTCAAAAAGGTTTCCAAGATCACAAAGCTAATTATTGATTGAGGCAATATTTCAGCACAAGGCCTTCCTTCGTCTTTTCTAAACTTGAAGTTTAGACAATACTGAAAGAATTCTCAGTGTCATTACCTTACAGTGTGAAAGTATAAGGGAAAAAATTAAAGCATTCATTCTTGAAAGAATGCTATCTAATTTAAGAAACATTAAAAGTTATGAATATTATGAATTTACAAGTTGTCAAATCTGTTAATGGACATTGACAGTAGGTGAAAATAATCATGAGATGACTTCTTTTGACTCTTCAGAAAGTGGTCAAATGAGTGTTGACATCATGCCAGGAGTCCCCACCACTGTTATCCTGACAGTGGGAGAACCCTCATCAAGTAGTTCTTTTAATGATTTTGAGGAGAAGGGATTCAATCTCTCTCTCTCTCTCTCTCTCTTTTTTTTTTTTTTTTTTTTTAGTGCAGGATATGAAAGAACTTGCAAGTATGGCTTTTGCAGCTTTGTACCTGGTTAGGAAACCTAACTTGCAGATCCTGGAAGGCTCCATTCTTGAGCCTGTGTAATAATATGCTGGAACTTATTATCAATGCTTCATTTGGGGCAACTTGAGGACTTCTGTGTTATAAGAAGAAAAACATAAGGATCTAGCCTTCTTGCTTCCCTCCAAATTGGAATTCAGGAGCCATGGTCTTGATACTGCTGAAGTGCCCTAATTATACAGAGGAGGCTGTCACAGAACCAGTCCCTAACCTGGGTAAAATGCAAACTGAAACCATTTTTATGCTTTTAGTGTTTACTACTGAGATGTCTCAAAATTTTAAGTATTATTACCTTTCTTAAATTATCTATGAATCTAGTATTTTAAGAATCACTAATTTTTCTTTGTTTTGTGTATAGTCTTAATATTATTAGTACCTAATATATTAATATCATTATTTCCAAATTCTTTATTATCAGTTGAGTTAAACATGTTGACTACTAGCATTTTTAGGCTAGAAGTGAGCTGATAGGGCATCTAATCCAGATCCCTTATTTTCATGAGAGAAAGGATTTCCAGTTTTGTGGATTACATTCACATTTACCAATAGCACTTTGGTAAAATAGTATACTGGGATTGGTTTTTGTTTTTCCTTTCCTCCCTGCCTGTTTGTATGTAGGCTATCCCTTCCGTATCTTATTCTTTGCAATACTTCCACTTTAGGTCCTGTTTCCCTCTGATTTGGAAAGAGACAGTCTTGTAATTTTAAATTACATCCTAGCTCTGAGGAGCTCAGCTAAGACATTTTCTGTTCATTAAGAGTAATTGGATTACTTCAGAATGACCACAGAAATAATATTGCATTATCGCGCATATGAGAGTGATCCCACACAATTGCTGAAAGTTGCAGAAAAAGCAATTCAAGACTTTCCTACACATCCACTATCAAGATTTATCCCTTGGTTTCCACATGATGGGTCCAAACTTCCGCTCAAACCTAAACGATCACCACCTGTGATTTCTGAAGAGGCAGCTGAAGATGTGAAACAATCCTTAACCATTTCAGAACATGATGTTAAATCACAGAGTTATGATTGTACAGTAGAGCTATTGGAGTTTCAGCCTAATTTGAAAGAAAAGAAGCACTTAATCCGGTCACACACACTCAATGAACAGACTACTTCTGGAAATCTGGATAAACAATCAGAAAAAGGGAAACGGCACAAGAAGAGGTCTTGGAGTGTTTCGCTCCCCAGCAGAAATTGTACTGGAGATATTTTTCCTTTGTCTAAAAAATTGCAAGATAGTGTAAAGGCACTAGATTTACACTTATTTTACAGAGCAAGGTGGACAATAGATCACACTACATGTAACAACCAAACTCTGGAAGACATTTGGGCAAAACTCAATAGAATTATCAGGCACAATGAGCTTCCATCTTGTAATGCTACAATTCAGAGACATTTGGGCCAAATATGGGTGTTCTGTGATATTATGTACTGTGAATATGTGGGAAATCTCCTTAAAGGAAGATTAGCTCTTACTGGGAAAATAAATTTATTTGTGCGTAAACATGGTATTATTTTTAGTATGTAATGAATTCCAGTGATTGTCAAAAAGATGACTATTCTGAATGAACAGTATATACTGAAATAGATTAATAAATTTTTTTACTGGTTTTTAAATTTTTAATGACAATTTTTTTTTATTTGAACCTTTGCTAGCATAGCCTATTTATTCTTACCATTGTGAAAAATAATTGTGTGGTAGTATGTGTTCAGTTTGTATCCCAGGAATAAATATCATGTGAGTTTGTAGACTTGTCATTTAAGTCAAGAACTTTCTGGATTCTACTTTTAACAGCCACTGTTTAAATTAATTGTGATAAATTATTATTTATACTGAAGTTAGAGGTAAAATGTGCCATTCCTTTTTTTTTTTTGTTACTTTTTCAATGGTTGAGTTATATATTCCTATGAATTACAGTGAATAGTTTGGATTTGGGTAAATCCTTAAAATCTAATTTTTCTAGTATTTTTTCGTTCATCTAAAATGTAATAATTTTTTTAAAATGAAACTAAAACCAGTTTCAGTTTCAGGGAATGCTATTTAAGTGGCATGTATATAGTTCACAATGGGAGACCAGCCAAATTATACTGATGTTCCCAAAGATATGTAATAGATAACAGTTGATGTGTTGTCTTGCAACAAAGGTTTAAAAAAATGTATAATTTTCTTAAGACCATAATGTATCTTTAAGGCTATATAACATGTTTTGAAAAGAAGTATCAAATATGATAAGAAATCAAGTTACTCTTTATTCTAATACAAGTAATTCCATCTTAATGACTGTTAATACTGGTTACTAGCCTGCTGGTTCTTGAAGTCATTGTTGGTTTCCCATAACCAAAATGTTATAAAATGGATTTATGCATCACCTCATAGAAATAACCAAAGAACTTATATGGGTATATGCACAGCCTCTGGACACACAATAGTGTGGTGAAGGCCTGGGGGATGGAGTGGGGGCAGGGTGGAGGGGGTCATTGGGGGGAAAAAGGAGGGACATATATAATGTTTTCAACAATAAAGATGATTTTTAAAAAAATAACCAAAGTGATTATGGAATAAAAGGGTTATAAAAGCATGTATTTATTTAATAAATTTAAATGCCTTCTAGGAGCTCGGTACTGGAATGTAGTAGGAAAGGACGCAAACATGTACCCTGCCCTCACAGAGTTTACATGGCATTACTGCTATTCAGTAGTAAAACCAAACCCTTGAAAAAACCCAGTAAGAGTGTATTCACTAGCAAGGTGGAGAAATGTTTGCCTTGTGGCATAGTGCCTGGCATCGTAGAGGTTCTGTAATACATGATAAGTGTGCCCTTTGGAGAGATTCTTCACAGGCTGATATTGCTGTGAGTCCACTAATTTTTAACTGAAGAGATCATCTTTTCCAATTAGATTTTACTCTGTTCAAATATTGTTTTGTTTTTAACTATTTTTAGTATCATTTTATTGTCTCAAATGAGACTGCTATCTAGAATGTGCATGAATGCTTCCAAAAGTCTTTAAATGAAAAATCACCTGTCGTAGAGGGAGTTTCCAAGGTAGCTTCTTCAGTAATGACTTCCTCTTTTGTTCATCGATCTTACTTTTCAATCCAAGACTGCTGGAGAAACGTCAAGAAGCCATTGAGTCTTGCTAGTGAGCTTTTGAATAAGAGTTGGCAAAAATAAATGGTGAATCTGATTCATTTGTTCAGGTCTTATTTACTGTAAGGTTGCTAATCAAGGGTTAAAAGTTAGGTACTCGTGCCCTGGCCAGTGTGGCTCTGTTGGTTGGGCATTACTGGCATGTATCAGGGCACATGCCTGGTTGCAAGCTCAATCCCCTGTAGGGGGGTGGAGGGTGCAGGAGGCAGCTGATGAATGTTTCCCTCTTAGATTGATCTCTCTCTCTCTTCCTCTCACCCTTCCTCTCTCTAAAAATCACGCACTAACCTGTTGGGCTCAGTGGATAGAGCATCGGCCTGCAGACTGAAAGGTCCCAGGTTCAAGTCCAGTCAAGGGCATGTACCTTGGTTGCGGGCACATCCCCAGCAGGAGGTGTGCAGGAGGCAGCTGATCGATGTTTCTCTCTCATCGATGTTTCTAACTGTCTATCCCTCTCCCTTCCCTCTCTGTAAAAAAATCAATAAAATATATATATTTTTAAAAATCAATTAAAAAAAAATCAAACCTAGATACTCATAACACTGTTTTTTCTTTTGATAGCTTTTTATTATTTTGAAATGATTGCACACAGAGCTGAAAATACAAGGTATAGTCTAGCATCATGGGATTCTTATGAAGAGTAGTAGCTTTTTAATCCAAGAACCACACATTAAAAAGAGCTTCTTTGTTTTCATATGTGGCAGATTTAAATTTTTCTAATTTACTCTATATCAATTGCTTTTTAACCCTTTGAGAAACAATGAAAAGGTCATTCAGAAATGGGAAACTGAAGATTAAGTAATACTGCAAATATTGTCAGGATCTTAAAAGAAGGGGGTAAAGGGGACTCATTTTTCTTCTACCTAGAGAGTACTTAAGAAGTAATCAAGGCCTAAGAATTTAGAATCCATGGCTACTTCTTTGCATATTTAGAACCTTAGAACTCACGATTCTGTCACAAGCTAATAGTAGGGCTAAACAGTGTTTCTGGGTTACAGTCTTAACATAGACATGGAAATAAATTGGGGGAACAAAGGCACATACAGGAAAGTGTATCTGTGAGGGCATTTGGTAAAATCCAATCAGCACTTACTCTCCAGGGAAATGCAGCAGTATCATCATTTTATTTTTCCCTGTTAACCCATCTACCTTCAAATAAATGTTAATCAAATGCAAAGAAAAAAGATGGAAAGGCATTATATTAATTTAACTTCATTTGCTAACTCATCAAATAACTTAAAAATCACTTTTTGAAAATTTTCAAAATGAGCTCCTGCATAATGATTCTCTTTGATTTAATCTCAAAATGCCCAAAATTAATTCAGAATTCACAGACATAAATGTCTTCAGGGACTTGATAAACTGTAGAATGTGGTAAGGATTCCAAGCCTGGAGATTAATTTTTTTTTTTTAATGTTATGGCCAAGCAAAATTTGTGTGCAAGTGGAACTAGGCCCAGTTTATCACTTTGTAACTTCAGGCCTATCTTTCTCTTAACTTATAATATTTTATATGAAACCTGAATTTCATAAGTAAATGAAATGTCTGTTTTGTGAGTTCTACTGTGTGTCACTACATATGGCACTATATGAATATTTGGTACTCAACTAAAAATCACATTGTTTATTGCTCTAATTTTTTTGGCAAAGTACCTACTTTAACATTCAAGGCTGGGTACAAAATTTACCAACCAGGGCTTTATTATAGTTCCTAAACCTTGCTTCAGTTAGTATTTGCTCTTTCCAACTAACATTATATATAATTTTTGAGGTCTATTACTGTAAGACAGTAAATACTGTGTTTTAAATGTGTATTTGATATAGGCATACTTTGGATTATCTTTCAAGGAGTGAGATAGTTGTATGTTAATAACTAGGTTTTCTCAGTTTGTATTTAAAATCTGCAAATATGACATATTGTGTCTTTTTAATATGTCTCTTGATTTTTAAGTGGATTTGTAGGTTAAATTATTTTTCCCAAATAGCTAATCAGATGTCTTAGCACCTTAAAATATTGATTTTTTTCTGTATCCTAATCATTTTTATTAACTATCTAATATATGTATCTGTATGGTCTTCAGTTAATAAGCCAATTAGTTTATTGTAGACTTAAATTTTTAAATATATGGTAAGTCCAGTTCTCCCCCCTATTTCCCCATTTATTTTCTTATTTTCATTTATTTTTCTAGATAAACTTTAGATACATTCTGCTATGTTCCAAGAACAAATCTTATTTCTGGTTGTAATTAAATAAACCAATAAACCTTTAACTGATATTTTTGCAATTTCTACAAAGAATTAATATTACTAGAAGGGTCACTTACTGAACTTTCAGTGGTCAGTAATTATAATCGAGGGGTACAGCTCACAAAAGGCCTTTTTGTCATAAAGTTTTTGTTTCATATTCAAAATGATGCATCTAAGCTTATTTTCCTGTCAGGCTTCTTTTGATTAATATTTTGTTGATATTGTTTACACTGAAGTCACTCAGGATTTTTTTTAAAGCCTTGTTCTCCTAATATACCTTAATAAAGTCTTTTATTTTCTAGTTTTTCTGTAATGAGGTATATTATATTTACATTTAATTTTTAAAGTTCATTAAGTTAAAAAAAATGTAAAATTATTTTCTCATGTATAAAATTGTTTCATATATTAGCATTTTTAATGAACTATTGCTATATAATCTTAGGAAGTATTTAATATCATATTTAGTTTAGGAAGTATCCTATCTAATGAAAGAGTAATATGCAAATTGACCATCACTCCCAATACAAGATAGCCGCCCTCATGTGGTCAAAGATGGCTGGCAGGGTAGGGCAGTTGGGAGGGACCAGGCCTGAAAGGGAGGGCAGTTAGGGGGCGACCAGGCTGGCAAGGGAGGGCAGTTAGTGGTGACTGGGCCAGCAGGGGAGGGCAGTTGGGGGCGACCGGGCCAGCAGGGGAGGATAGTTAGGGGCAATCGGGCCAGCAGGGGAGCAGTTAGGCGTCGATCAGGCTGGCAGGGGCGTGGTTAGGGAGTGATCAGGCAGGCAGGCAGGCGAGCGGTTGGGAGCCAGCAGTCCTGGATTGTGAGAGAAATGTCCAACTGCCCAGGCATCCCTCGAGGGGTCCCAGATTAGAGAGGGTGCAGCCTGGGCTGAGGGACACACACACACCCGTGCACAAATTTCGTGCTCCAGGCTTCTAGTATAGTTATATTTTACATTAGTATAAAATTGATGAATGCCATGGATTGGCTTGGGAATACTAGCCCAAAGCAATATTAACATATATATATTTTTTTACTGTTGGAATTTACAGTGATGCGGTTGACGAAGCCTACTTTATTCACCAATATTCCAGTAACATGTGAAGAGAAAGACTTACCTGGTATGGCACTTACTTTATTCTACTTGCACTTAGGGAAAAATTGGCATCTTGATTGCCTCTATTACCTTCGAATAAGCCCAGCTTTGCCAATTTTATGCTCTTTGCTACATTCTCTGTTTCCTGTTTTTGTAGCATGTGAGTGGTAGCCATTGAGTAACAGGTCTCATTTATAAGGTACTATTAATATCCGATGGCAACAGGAGATTTTTATTTTAGGTTTAATAATAATGCATCCATAGTCATAAT